TATATATATATATATATATATATTGAGGTGTACAATCAACTATTTGTAAAAGGAGACACATAACGGCATATTATACACAGACAATTGCTGCTGCTGCTGCTGCTGCTGTTGCTGTTGCTGCAGGGCGAACAGCCAAGTTTAAAATGTATTTATGCATGCATGCATGCATAAATACATGCATGCATGCAGCCCCACAGGCATGGCCATAGGGTGTATATACATGTACACTGCATACACGCATACACCCCTTTCTTGCATCCTTGCTGCATGCATGCGCGCATGCATGCATGTATGCATGCATACAGCCCCAATGTCTGTGTGCTGCTGCAGTGAGTTGAGGTGTACGTACACCTCAAGCCGCTGGTGTCTTTTGCTGCTGTTGTTTTTATTGCCTTTTTTTTTTTCTTTTTCTTGTTGCAGTATAATATATAATTATTTAATTTATTTAATTTATTTAATTAAATAAATAATTAAATTAATTAAATATATTTATTATTTATTTATTTATTTATTATATTCATGCAACTCTGCTACACCCCATTCATACAAGACACCACCACATCCGCAGGACAGCAGCAGCAGCAGCAGCAGCAGCAGTAGCAGCTAGCTGCATTTTGCATGTGCAGCTAGCTGCACTTTGCATGCATCTGCTGCTGCATGCAGCCGCTGCTGTGGTGTACAGGGAGGTAGGTGTCTGTACACCGTAGAATATGGGGGTAGAAGCAGCAGCAGCAACAATCGGAAGCAGCCCCAAATGCATGGGTGCATGCAGGGATACATGGATACATGCAGCCCCAAATGCATGCATGCACGCATGCATGCATGCATGCACGTATAAATAATTATGCTGCTGTCTCTATTAACAACAAAATGGAGACAGGAGACACCTCAACTGTCTCCTTTATTTAATCATCTTCTTCTACTCTATTATTATCCAATCCCTAGAATCCTAAACATGCTGCTGCTGCTGCTGTTGCTGCTGCTGCTGCAGTTGCTGCTGTTGCTGCTGCTGCTGCAGCAGCAAATAGACCTCCGATAGTACCCAAAACAGCTGCGGCGATCATCAGCAGACACTGCTGCTGAGGCGGCTGTTTGCGAAGGCCTCCTGTATGAGCAGCAGCACCTGCTGCTGCTGCTGCTGCTGCTGTTGCTGTTGCTGCTGCTGCTGCAGCAGCATCCGGTGAGGAAGCGGGAGGCTCCAACCTCCCGCTATTTGCTTCCCCTCGGAAATGGAGCTTCGCGTTACTCCTGCTGCACCTCTCTTGCTGGCTATTCAGCTGCTGCTGCTGCTGCAGCTGCTGCTGCTGCTGTTGCTGCTGCTGCAGCTGCAGCAGCAGCACTGGCAGATGAATGCCTCACTAGGAGGGCAGAGGCCTTCAATCGGTGGCGTTTAAGTCGATGAGCTCTTCCCCTGCAACACAACAAAACCCTAAACCCTAAACCCTAAACCCTAAACCCTTAAACGGCATAAACCCTAAATATATTGATACAAACCCTAAACCCTAAACCCTAAACCCTAATTCCTTGGCTTACTGTTGGTTGGCTCGTCTCCTTTGCCTCCGCTGTCTCTGCAGCACGTGAGGCGTTTTGCACTGCAGCAAAGAAGACAACACAGCAGCAGCAACACAATGCAGCAGCAGCAGCACCAACAGCAGAATGTGCAGCAGCAGCAGAAGCAACAGCAACAACAGCAAATCCTAAACCCTAAACCCTAAACCCTTACCCTTCCTCTGTGCATGCACTCTAGGAGCCTTCGACATTGCTGCTGCAGCCCCAAGAGGAGGGAAGTCTGCTGCTTCTAGCGGCGGTTGCTGCTGCTGCTGCTGCTGTCTGCTACGTCCGCCGTTGCTTCCTGCTCCACCTGCTGCTGCTGCTGCTGCTCCTGCTGCATTCCTCCTCCCCGATCCTGCTGCTGACGGTTCGCCGCCGCTGCAGCAGGAGTCAGCACCTGCTGTAGCCCTACTTGATTCTCCTTGGGGGGCATGCTGCAGCTCGTGCTGCTGCTGCTGCTGTTGCTGCTGCTCCTGCTGCTGCTGCTCATCTACAGCAGCAGGACCCCCTCTTGCGCTCCAATGGCCCCCTGCGCCTCTTCTCTTGCCGCCGCGGCCAACAGCTGCACACAAATACACACAACAGTTTCCTGCTGCTGCTGCTGCTGCTGCTGCTGCTACTCCTCTTCTTACTGCTGCTGCTGCTGCTGCTGCTGCTGCTTACCTCCTGTTTGACCATTCCTGGGTGCCCCTAAGGGAGCAGCATTTCTGCCTGTGCCCCACCATCTGCTGCTGTTGCGGCCTCTACCTCCATACCCTCCTCTACCTCTAAAACCTGGTTGCTGCTGCTGCTGCTGCTGCTGCTGTGGGGAGGGGAAGCCCTGTGCCTGCTGCTGCTGCTGCTGCTGCTGCTGCTGATGCATAAATGGATGCATTGGCCTTGCTGCCATGTAAGGCAGAGGCATAAACATGTGGGGAGAGAAGAAGCCAGGAGCAGCATAGAATAGCTGCTGCGGTGGCGGCATCATTTGCTGCTGCTGCTGCTGCTGCTGCTGCTGCTGTTGCTGTTGCTGTTGCTGCGGTTGCTGCTGCTGCTGTTGCTGCTGCTGCTGTTGTTGCTGCTGACCTCTACGGGAATCCTCTGTGTCAGCTGCTGGGGTTGTTGCTGCTGCTCCTGCTGCTCCTCCTGCTGCTGCTCCATCCCTAGCCCTTCCCCTGTGCATGTTGCTGCCAGCAGCAGGAGGACTTTGCTGCGGTGCAGGTATCCAGCATCCACCCATCATCTGCTGCTGCTGCAGTTGCTGCTGCAGCACGTGCTGCTGCTGCAGTAGATGATGCCGCTGCAAGGATGCATGCGGCGGCCACATAAATGGCTGCATGTCTGCTGCCTCTACAGGATAAGGAGGCATTTGCTGCAGTTGCTGCAGTTGCTGCAGTTGCTGCAGTCTGCTGCTGTATACTTGTGGGGACGTGTGGGGCCCCACACGTGCATAGCTAGCAGCAAGCCCTCCTCCTCCTCTCCTTCCTCTGTTGCTGCCGCGCTGCGGTCTTGCTGCGCTGCGGCGCTGCTGCCGTGCAGCAGGAAGCACGACACCCATGTCTCCTGCTGCTGCTGCTGCTGCTGCTGCTGCAGCAGCAGGCAGTACCCCATAAGGTGACGGGGGAGGAGCTAAGGCTAAGGGAGTCATGGGAGGTGCAGGGAAGAACTGTGGAGCTGCTGCTGATGCTGCTGCTGCTGCTGCTGCTGTTGCTGCTGCTGCTGCTGCTGTTGCCTGCGCTGATACAACGCGGTGTAATGCATGTGATGCCTTTATACCAACCTGCAACGGTTTCCCCTAAACACAGCAGCAGCAGCAGCAGCAGCAGCAGCAGCAACAGTAGCAGCAGCAAATAAAGCAACAAGCAGCATAAAAGATAACACAACACAGCAACAAAGCCCCAGAATCTACCAATGCATGCATGCATGCATCTCCCCTCCACTACTAAGCAAGATAGCTGTCCCGCGTCACCCGTCAACCCCTAAGCATTCCTAGACCACCAACAACAACAGCAGCAGCAGGAGCACCACCACCTGCTGCTGCTGCTGCTGCTGCTGCTGCTGCTGCTGCTGCTGCTTACATTGAATTGTTGTGATCTAAGCCATAAGGCAATTTCTTGTGTATTTGTTGATCCCTTAAGAGAAACAAACCATGTATCATTTACATCCTTACGTATACTACACCAATTCTCCTCTTCTTCCTCTTGCTGCTGCTGCTGCTGCTGCTGCTGATCCTGCTGATCCTGTTGCTGCTCTTGTTGCTGATCCTGATTGGTTCTGTTACTGTTGCTGCTGTCTTTCTGCTGCTGCTGCTGCTGCTGCTGCTGCTGCTGATTGGTGTCTTCGTTTGAACTATTTTCATCACCAACCTGAGACGATTTCTCCTCCCCTTGCTGCTGCTGCTGCTGCTGTTGCTGCTGCTGTTGCTGCTGCTGTTGCTGTTTGTGCTGCTGCTGCAGTTGCTGCAGCAGAGGAGCCTTACGAAGAATAGCAAGTAAATCTTCTTTTGTTGTTTGTGGTGGTAAATCACGAAGAACAAGAGTGTTCCTTCCTTTCTCCATAAGACGAGCAAGAGATATATACTCCTCTATATAGCTGCTGCTGCTGCTGCTGCTGCTGTTGCTGCTGTTGCTGTTGCTGCTGCTGCTGTTGCTGCTGCTGCTGTTGCTGATTGTATTGGTATTACTATTACTTGTACTACTGCTACTTGTTGTACTTGTTGTATTACTGTTATTATTATTGCTGCTGCCTCTGCTGCTGCTGCTGCTGCTGCTGCTACTACTACTACTACTTGGTGTTGCTGATGTTGTCTCCGTAAAGGGACTTATGTCCCCATTTGCTGTGTCTCTATGGGTATGGGGGCCCCCAGGGGCCCCCTCCCTTAATGCTGCTGCTGCTGCTGCTGCTGCTCCTGATCCTGTGCTATTATTAGGGTTTGTTGTTGTACTACCTTCACTAGCATCATCATCCTGCTGCTGCTGCTGCTGCTGCTGCTGTTGCTGCTGCTGCTGTTGCTGCTGCTGCTGCTGCTGTTGTGTGCCATTTTCGTTTGTTGCTGCTGCCTCTCTAGAATCTCCTTCTTCTTCCTCCCCTTGCTGTAGCTGCTGCTGTTGCTGCTGCTGCTGCTGCTGCTGCTGCTGCTGCTGTCTATGCCTCTGGACAAGAGTAACATCAGGCATAGCAGCAACAGCCTGCAGCAAATTGTCTCTTGTGCAGCCGCAGCACAAGACAGCGGGGTGTACGAGCAGCACATGCAGGGGCAGCAGCCAATCCCCCGGGTGTATAGCAGCAGCAAGAAAAGGATCTGTAGATAAAGATTCCTCAGATAATAATGCATGCAGCAACTTTTTTACTGCTGCTGCAGATACACCTACAGGTTTTATACCTTCTGCTGCTGCTGCTGCTCCTCCTCCTGCTGCTGCTCCTGCTGCTCCTCCTGCTGCTGCTCCGTCTCGTGATGACGATTCAGATGA